TGAAGATGTCCTGGAGTTATTCTCAGATTTAATTGTAATCCTCCTGCTCTGTAATACTAAACTTCTATAAAAAATCGAAGGACTTATGCTCGGGATTCGTTTTCTCCCACAAACTTTATGAAATTATCTTCAAAATTCCCCTTGGAATTTTCCTTTGAAGTTTACAGGAGTTGTGCTCCTCAGAAATTCCCTATAGTTTGCATCAAAATTTACTTTTAATTCAGTTCAGGGTTTCTTGAAATTCTACTCATAACAATCAGGCTTCATCTAAAATTCCTCAGAACTATCTTGAAAGCAGATTGCATTTTATGTTTTTCTGAAAGATTTTTTCTCCCAGAACTCCCTTGGAATGAAGTCCTTAGAAATTAAAGAGCCTTTCAAACTGTGCATGGCATTTGACTCCGGATTTTTGAAAATTTCTTGAAGTATTATACCTTAAAAGTCCAGAGCGAGGAGGGCGACACATCTAAATCTCAATTCTAGATGCTCAAAAAATCTCACACTAGCGAATCAATCTTCGAAAAATCTTCTTTCATTTCTCGCATCTGCTTGCATCGCGCATCATCTTTTTGCAGCAAATCTTCTTTCTAACTACTCAGCATGCGTGCAGCTAGCCACATCAAAACACAATCTTTTCTGCATCGTAGATAGAGTCGTCCCCGTCGGTCTAGAGCTATTTCAAATTTGAAATTTCTTAGATAGGGGAAATGTCTCTAATGGTGGCCAATGGATCTAAGATTGGGCCCATCGCTAAAAATCTGCTATTAATCAATTTTATCCAGATGAACGCGTTATTGGGACGTTACTAATGGATATTTTTGGTTGCTATTGAAAATTTAGTCGATTGCTGAATTTATGTATGGGCCCAAATTAGGGACACTTCGGCCCTGTCTTTTTTATACTGATGATTAATTTACTGTGCATTTATAAAGTTCAAAGTGTGAATGTAAATAACGAGAAAAATTATATTCTTTTATTTTAAAACTCATTATTTTCTTTAAAATATCCTTAGTAAGAAAATGACAAAATTCTCTGAGACTTCCAGGTATTGTAAGGAAAAATAAAATGTCCTGAGGATTCCCAGTTTTCCAGACGTTTGCAGTTAGTAGACACCTTGACTAATACCAAAGACTTCATATCAAGAAGACTGGCAACTTTGCCAGAATCCAAGCGACAGATACAATAGCGCTGCAATTGAATGAAGGTCCCTAATAAAAATAACCATAAAAGAGAGCTTAACGACGTGTTCGGGGTATCATCCAAACCATTTGTTGGATAGTTTACCCATCCGGGATACAGTTCGTTTATGGTACTTGTTTATTAGGGGTTTATTAGGGCTTCCGCAACGCATAAAAAATTGAGCAAATACACAAACCATTCTTCTGAGGATGTAATCTTTGCTATCAAATTCGTTCGAAGCATTTACCTTTGAGCGGTAGATGACGCGATTGTACCTGTCTCATAGCGTTCGTATGAGAAAATGGAAGAGTTGCCAGTATTCTGGATTTGTTGTCTTCGCTAATATCGTGGGTTTGTTCATACACTTTCTATTGAATCTTTCGCTTTAAAGGTTCATATCGTACATAAGTGTTTATGCGATACTAATTGGGTTCTTTAATTTTGAAAAATATATCATCTGAAAGAGCTTCGTTTTTTGAGCACAGCGATATTTTTTTCGAACCCATACACTTTTATCTCGATTTTTAAATCAAGATTTAAAGCAAAATAATAACTTCACTGTTTGACACTAAACTGACAAACTGACAGCTCGCTCCCATACAAAGTGACACCGAGGGGCGCTAATAAGGTGATTTTTGCAAATGTAATCGCACTTATTTAAAATAGTTCCAGTGTACCAAAATTGATGAAATTTTGGGTTTGGGTTCCATTTTTAATGAAGATTACGAATATACATTTACCTCAATACCCTTAAAGAACCCAATTGAATAAGTCTAAAACATCAAACATTTATTTGATGTGTCATCTTAACGACTACTTTCCTTCTCTTAGGTCACTTTTTAGTCACTATTTTTAAAACTATAAAAATTCTGGTCACTTATTTCTTCAACATGGTCACTAAAATTACTATTTTGACAGCAGTGATCGCTACCAGCCCTGCTGTGCTAAACTTCTACAAAGTTCACTGCACTATTATAATGTTTCTTAAACCTTTAGGATTTTCGGTGATTTTTTGCAAAGTTTCGTGAAATTCTACAAAGTTTCCTGAACTTCTACGGAATTGCAGTCTTCATCAGTGTCATTCCCACTAAAGACTTATCAAAATCTAACCCCCTTAAGTACTCACCCCCTAGGTAAAAACGTCAAGCTCACAGGTATAAAAATGAAACTACAACGTGTAGAATCGGAACTTACCTAACTAATAATAAACAATGAATTGAGTAAAGTGTTAGCGGACCCGAGCAAAGTAAAATAACAATCTGATATCATCTTGAAAACATGTCTTGTTATTCAGATATCAATTTGTTTTCAGTTGTTATCGCATAACTAATTTAGTTATCAACCTCGACTTATTTTGTTATCAGTTGATATCATGAAAGAATATGAAATGATGCAAGGTTAGTTCAAAACTTCAAATATTCCACATGGTGAGAAAAAAAAAACACTGCCAATCATATTTCAGTTATCAGCGTAAGGCTTTAATACCAAATCGATAAAATAATTTGGAATTTTGTTGAAAAAATTAACATGGATCACAAAATTTGTTATCAATGATAACTAAATAAGTTATTTTTGTGATATCTCAGAAGTATTATTTTGTTATAATTTTTGTTATGTTGGCTTTCAGAGAGGGTATCAGAACTTGTTATCAATTTGGTGTAATCCTTTGCTCGGGGAATACTTAAATAAAACAGCAAAAAAGGTTACCACAGACAAACAGACATAACTCTTCGAAGCAAATTCTTCAAAAAATATCGTCAAGTGTATTTTGCATGCGCACTAGCACCATCTATCATCCACATTCCCAAGCCTTGATGTGCAACTAGAGCATCCCTCGTTCATGCCATTTTTTCACCAGTTGCTTTTCCGTGTTGAATAAAAACAAAACAGATGGAAGTCAGTGATGTCGGTTCTACTAAATTTTCCGTAGATCTATAGAATTGATTGAATTCTGCAGAAAAAAGGATCCGTAGGAAAAATTCACAAAAGCTAAGACTTTTTTTTAGGGATTTGGTTTGTTTGTTTAGTATGCTTTTTTCTTTTGCTGGAAACAAGTTTTTAAACGAGGTAATGCATAACTAATTAGTGCCGTTTCTACCACTGCTCATAACTTTAATGTGTGTACAGCAAAAAAAATATAATATGTATCAATCAATGAAATTCATGATGAAGTATTGAACATCAATAACTGGTAAAAGGGGTAAAAGTTGATAGAATAGTACAGTCATCAACATGATTTGTTCTCGAATTCTGTGTTAATCGTACAGCGTAATATTAGGAATGGAATGACTAATGTGCAGCACTTTTGATGTAATATTCTACAACTTTTTTTCTGTGTTCGTCAGATGTGGTATGTGTCTCCAGTGGGATTATCATTTTCAAGAGCTGACATCTACTAACTAGACGTGAAAAAGAACTGGCATCACTGATAAGTTCGAAATTTGGTGGCTTTCTCAATGCTTCAGTGGCGCCACCATGACAAATGCAAACACATTCCCAACTAAAACATTATTTGCGATGAATGTGATTGCGAGTGTTATGTCTGTTTGTCTGTGAGGTTACCTTCCATTTCTATTTTTAAATATATCCACTTTCGATTCGATATTTTGCAACAACAGTTCAATCGGTTCCGAACGATAAACTAATAAAGCGTTTGGCCTTCATAAAGTTCATAAATTAATTGCGAATGGTCCGATTCCCCAAATGAAGCAGACAAACTTCCATATTCTCGCCTTCCAATAATGTCAATTTCTTCCGTATAACATTCCACACGCAGTGTTGTGTAGTTCACCTGCTCTGAAAATACTCCTTCGTTCATTTTTCTCGCTCGTGAGAGTTCGAAAAAAAAACAAACAATTTGAGTGAGCAGTTACTTTGGCAGGCAAAGCCTACTATGCTCTTCTCGTATTTACCCACAACATCACTTCAGTCTTTCGGTCGCTTTCGTTCGTGTCGGTTCGTTCCGTTTGCCAGGGGTTACATTCCACGTTGTGTTGTTACTCGCGAGTGCTTCTGCTTAGCAGCTTACTGTGTTCAAGTGGCCGTGCAAAGTTTGTTCTTATCCAAGGCTGCTGGTTCTCTGTGTGGTAATACAGGTCGAAGTAGTAGACGGTACGGTAACAGAAGTGCAGTGCATGCTCATTGGGGAAGGAGAACGCGTGGCGCTAACAGTTGCCTACCGTGCCGTTAAATTGTGTTCCACTGGTTAGCTGTATCATCATCATCATCTTCATCGTTGTCAGTCGGTGGTTTATCATAAACGCCAAATTGCAAATTGTTAGTATTTCCCCCTTTGTGGCAAGATTTTATGTACTGATAGTTTTTCTTTTATTTATTTTGGATTTGGTGTGAATTCAATGTTCGAACTTGTTTCGGCTAGTGTAGTGGTGCTGGGTACTGCTTTTCTGTGCTTACTTAACATTCAACACCGCCAGTCGATTTAACACAAGTTGTTCGCAAGGGGAACGAGAGAGAAACGGTTACCAAAAGCAGTAGTGTGCACAGAGGGTAGAGCAAAAAAAAAAAGTTGCCATACGGGCATCAAGTTTAAGTGGCTTTTCTAAAAATGTCACGCGCTGACGAAACTGGTCGATTGTGGAATCCCAGTATCTCGGGAAGTGGACGCTGGTCATGTGGTCGATGAGTTCTTTGCATATCGTGTGTAGTCGAGCAAAGTAGGCGTTTGCTCTTTAGAATTGAGTCAACTAAACATCGCATTAGAGCGAGAGTTACCCACCACAATCGAGTGCAAGTGTTACTGTAGTGATGATGTAAGGCTTTCCGTCCTGTTGACTGCGACAACGATTATGTACAGTACCCTTCGCAGTGTCAGTGTATCGATCACGTTGAAGTTGAAGTGTTTGGCTCGATTCCAGATTCCCGTGAGAGCGGATTATCGAACTTGTCGAGTGAAGCATATTCGGTGCTTCAGCCGATCGTAAATTGACATGGAACACTGTTCAGAGTGTGTTACATGGAAGGGAAAACCACGGCACACTCACACCTACACACACGCCCAATGCAACATGGAGCTCAGCTTCCCTCGGGTCCGGATGTTCGTCAACTGTCGGGGCACAGAAATAAGATTTTAATGAGCGACCGTGGGTGGAAAAAAGGACTATGTTGCGCCATTCTGTGGTTGAGCATATTTAAAACAGCCACGAAGAAAATCATGTTCGCTTTAATTGAAAGTGCATTACCGATTAATGGGGTCAATTAAGTGGAGAGTGCAAAAGTAATTAATGCGATAAGTTGCATAAGCTAACGAGAGAGTGTAACCATCCGTGGAAGAGTCATAGGCATTCGAACAAGTGGATTTAGTGCTAATCCGAACGAACGGAAATATATGATGAATCATTCGTAGCACAATACCGGTTCTTTTTTCAAATCAAACTTAATAATGCCTACACACTGTACAGGCATTGGTGGCATTGCCAAAGAAGTTCTACACAGTTCATGATTCTCTAAAGGTTTATTTGTGCGATTCTCATTTTTTTTTCTCGCCCTGTAACGGGGATGGTGGACGTGAATAGTGATTGGAGCTATTTTTAACCGAAGTGCTAATTACACTTGAGGCGGCTATTAGAACAGCACGAGATAGGCAGCAGCTCGAGAACGACGGAACGAAACTGTTGCCACAGTTTGACGTTATTTGGCTAAATACATGAGGTGGATGAAATTGTGGTGTTCGTGTGACTGTGTGATTGGTGATGATAAAGAAGATAGTGAGAAGAAACTCCAACAGCAGTTATCAGTGCGTAATCAAGACAAATGTGTGTGCATTAGCAGGTGATGGCTACAGTTTCTTAAAATCTCCAAAGTGTTTGCATTATTGTTCATCATGATGAATCGTTTTCCTATATAATGTTTTTTTTTTGGTTGGGGTATTCAACGTATGAAATGTACCATTGCAGCGTCGTAGTGAGGCTTTACTATACTTCCCATGAAAGCATAACAGTCCCATATGGATTTTGATCAGAAATGAGTTATCCATTAGAATCGATTGTTAGCTACCTGTATTTTACACTGTGCACTCTAAAAGTACCTCAAACGGGGTCACTTGCAACACTTTTCAGGTTTCTCTCTTCACAACTTTTCAAAAACAAGTTTTTTTTTTGTTCTAGAACTATGCGATAGTTTTAATCAGTGTTCATACTCGAAAATAAAAATATACAAAAAAATATTGCATTTTATAATTTACTAGAAAACATCAAAACGGTGGGTGTTGCAAGTCACCCCTCCTGCGGGGTGACTTGCAACACTTTTGTTAGTTTAATGAAAACAGAACTTTAAAACAATTTGATCATGGTAATGTTTGGTCTAGGATTTTTCTGAGATGCTTTTGGTGCCGGAGGATGAGCTGAAGGCACTTGTTGCTTAGTCTGTTTCCTGTTGTTGTTAGTTGGTCCAACTTTGGTTGTCTTTGCGCGCTTCGTTGTTGTTGAAGAGGAATTCAAACCAGTCTTCTCCATCACGTCCTCGGCAGTCACGGTCTGTCCAGGTTCAGGTTCCTTATTTCCTTGGCTGTTCAGAAACCCCTTGACGATCAATTTAAGATCATTCCTTTGGAAAGGCATTCCCCACTCCGCTGCAAGCAACAAACCATCTTCCAGTATCTGCTCCTCTTGGCTAGTAAACACTGTTTGTCCACCGTAAGCTTTCTTTTCAATGTCTTCCTTTTTCAAGTAACGGGAAACCGTTGAAGGACATAATTTGTACTGCTGGGCCGCCTACCGGATAGATGATCTGTTCTTTTTAACTTCTAGCGCCGCTTTTTCCAAAGTTTCCTTTGAGAAATTAGCATACGTGCGACTTCCAGCAGGCTTCTAGTAGGTTCTTGGCATGATTCCGGATTTAACAGAAGCCCTGTAACATGAAACATGGTTTGGTCAAAAAATATGGTGAATAATACCAAAACTGATTGTCCCATCTATAATGCTGGGTTTAGACTAGGCAAGTCAAATGATCAACTCAGCATGAATTCAACTGAGCTGATCATTTGACTTGCCTAGTCTAAGCCCAGCTTAAGAGTCGACAGGCAAATAAATTTTCAACTGCTTTTTTTCTCGGCGTGCTGTTTTTCCAGTATAGACTGATGTGCTTTTATGGGCAGTATACCCTTGACAAACAATGTAATTGACGTCTATTTTTTAGTGATTAAATCAAACGCTAGGTCCCTAAACCAAGAGGGACATTAATTTTTATTCGGATTTTCGATATTTTTCACGACTGGGTTTCGAATCGCTCAAGATCTTATGCATTCTAATGATAAAGTCAATTGTTTTAAGTATAAATTAACAGGGAATTCCGGGCAATTATCGGGAATTCTGCCTGCACCAGTGGTGTAGGGGTAAGCGTGACTGCTTTTTCACACCCTAATGGGTATGGGTTCAATCCCAGCCGAAGTCGGTGGGATTTTTCTGAGGCATAAAAATCTCTGGTCACGTCTTCCTTCGGAAGGGATGTAAAGCCGTTGGTCCCGGCCCATGTGTGTTTAATGGATGCGATATCCTACGCAGATGTGGAAGCTGCCTTCCTGCCAGTGTTCGGAAAATCATTCTCAAATCTCATTCATGGAGCCTTTCTGCGACAATAAACTCGCGTGCGAATGCGGCAAACAAAATTCACGCTTGAGATTCTCATGCATATTCATGCACTCAAACTCACAACGCCGAAAAATCATTCCACTCAAATGTCAATTGATATCATGCCTATGCATGTTGTGTTAGTTTTTCGACCCCTGATGCACAAACAATAGTAATAACAATGAATAACAAAAAAAAAAATATAAAGCAATGAACTTTTGAACCTGAAAACTCATCGGTGATTTTTGCGACGTTGAATTTTGCAAGGCAAAACTCATAGGCGCATAAACTCATGCATGAGATTTGAGTTTTTGTGTTTTTCCGAACACTGATTCCTGCACATTCGATTGCCGTCAATCGATGACAATGGATGTCCGTCGGTGATTGGAACTAGATTACGGAATGAAGACCGGGCCGAATTCCCAGGAAAAATGCGCGAAAAACCAAATCGCACCAGGACAGATCATAAATAAGGTCACAATTTTGGTTTTATCATAGTCTTGTAGGCCATAATGTAGTCTTTAAGAATATTTTAAACCTTTATAAATCTTGCAATATTATTTGGAAGCGATCGATTTTATATCACGGTAAACGGCGATTTTGCCGTTGTTCCTAGGTTCCTACCACGATAGCTTACAGAGTATTTTTTTATATTTCTTTTGGTGTCATTGGAGTGTTGTTTGAAATATTTTGCTACAGTTTTCCGAGTGTAGAAGTTTGTTGTTTATTAATTTATTTGATAAGGCTCAACCGAATTAACTTTACAGAGCCGAGGATTCTTGGTCACTATACAATACATTTTAAAACTATAGTCAAAAGGTACAACACAATAAACACTTTATCTTCCGCTATCCAAAAAGCCTCCTCCATCAGAACTGGAGCCGCTTCCAGTAGTTTCATTGTATGGCAAATTGTTGTACGCCAACGAGGGTCAGAGCGCGTCCATTGCAGCAATGGACGCAAAACGTGGTCAGCACTCACACACTCATCACGAAACGGTTGCTTTCCAAAGTCGACGACGCATCGACCGAAAGAACTGCTGATGAAGAACAATGAGGAGGACCAATGAAAGTTTGGTGGCCCTGAAAAGGGCCGTTTTGTTGGGCTGATGTTGTTGACAATGAAGGAACGGGCGACCTTGTTGGACGCTTATATAGTAGAACAGAAAATATCAGAGGCGTCAGATACTCGCATACGTACGTTAAACTCTTTCTTGATAATGTTGTGGCCAATTCTTTCTTGATAATGTTGGGGCCATTTTTCCAACGCGCTCGGCGTAGTTGCCCTTGCGGAGCAGACGGTGAATACGACCGACTAAGAACTGCAGCAGCTGGGCATTCCATGACGGCGGCCCAGTATACCGGAGCACTGGCACCAACGCACTCGGCGTAGTTGCCCTTTCGCCCCCAGGCTCTGCTGCCGCTGCTCTGCTGCCGTTGCTCTGCTTCCGCTGCTCTGGTACTGCAGTTCTGCTGCTCTGCTGCTCTGCTGCTGGGTCGACGTTCGGATAGACAATGATGGAACGGGCGACCTTGTTGGACGCTTATATAGTAGAACAGAAAATATCAGAGGTGTCAGATACTCGCATCTGATGTCTCGGTTGGAGAAAGTATAAGCATATAAAAAAAATCAATCGATTTTCACCATCTTTAGACAATGGTTTACTTTTAACCATTTTTCAATAGTTTACAGAATGAAATCAATAGTTTTGAAACATTCAGCAAATTGCTAGAAATATTTCCAATCGATTGATGTCATTATCTCGTAAATCTATCGAGAGACGGTTGAGTTATTATCGTTCAAAATCTTTTAATTTTTCGTAACGCATCCATAATGACTGTTTTCAATTTTGTACCCCCGTATGTCGCCGAAAGACGTTATCCAACGTCAAAATGATCTCCAACTCTTTGCATGCCCGACACTCAACACAATCAATGAACTAAAAAAATCCAGAGATAAATTACAAATTAGTGTCTGAATTTTGTGCTAACACTGGTACACAAGATTTGTCAGGACATCGTAGAATACCTTGGTTAGTCTGTAAAACAAAAGATCTGAATCCATACCTTTCACGCCAAAGTTATGAGTTCAAATCTCACCCGGATAGGTCCCGAATAATCCAAGTGTGTTTAATACAACGAATGAAGAAGTAAGCAAACAAAGTCCCGTAACGTGGGTAGATCACCTTTTCGTGGTACGTTACGGGATGTAAGATCTACAACCGATTCCTAGTCCTGACTACTTCAAACTAGGGGAACAGGATTTTTCAGTAATCCAAGGAACACATCTTAGTCCTTGTTACTTGTTATGCCTTTTTGATAGTGACAAGACTCGGCTTAGTCTACCGAGGATGATCTTGAAACAAGGAAAAAATGAGTTAGTTGTCTTCATCTTTGAATTCCTAATCTTCTATTCGTTGTTCCCTAGTTTGAAGTGGTTAAGACTAGGGTTCTGATGCATGGTCATTATCGGTGTCATACCTTAATTTTGTTGCTAAGGAATCCAATTATGACTGACAGAGGGGCACGCCTTTGGAGGGTGTTTCAACACTCCAAAGGGTATAAATAGCGGGACCTTTCAATTAGAGTCCTTGCGATAAATGCAAGAGTGGCAACTGTAAAAAAAATCGAATACTTCATCATTTCTCAATAGTGATGGAGTAATACGACATGCACTAAACTAAGGGCACGGGATATACTACACATACCACACATATAATTATTCATAAAATACCCTATTGAACCATGCAAGTTCCTTAGCGTTGAAAAAGCATTCACTTCAAAATGGTCCTGAAATCTTACTCAGAATTGTCTTGGAAATCTTTAGAATCTATTGAAACTGTTGAAGATGCTAAGTTTCAAATAAAAGACAAGGTGGTAATTTTTCTAAAATTCCCCTAGAAGTTCTGGCTAATATTTTCTTCATATATAAATGGATTTTCTAGGAACTCTTCTCAGAATTCCCTTGAAACTCTCCTAAGAATTGTGTAGCAATTTATGTTGAAATATCTTTAGAATACTCATTTGAATTGTCTCCTGAAATTCCTTGAAAATCCTCTGAAAAATTCTTTCCTCTCCAGAATTTCTTTCGAGTAATCTTGAAAGTTTGATTCTCTAACATGTCTGCATAGTTTTTCTATAATTTATCATCAGCATTGGCTATATATTCTTTCAAGAGTTCCTTATAAATTCTCTTCAGAAGATC